TCTCTATCACAGGATCACTCATTACTCCTTCCTGCTTCCTCACTTTTTGTGAAATTCCACCTTTCACGCCTCTCTTAAGAGGATTGCTGACTACTGCACTCTCACCTGCCATTGGCTAATTTGATTTCCTTTTCTGTTGACTGTTAGGTTCCACAGGAAGCTTCTTAATGCAATGCATTGATCTGATCCCTAGCTTCTCTTTTTCTTCCTGTGAAGGTTCTGCAATGGTTCTGTTTTCTGTTTTCTGCTCTGTATTTATATCCCTGAAAACTTCCCTTCATTTTCACAAGCTCTTCTTCTCTGTGGGACTCACAGGTTCCCATCTCTCTTAATGTTGTGTAACCAACACGTTCTTGCCATGTACGTTACCCATCTCTGTAGCAACTCCCCAGCAAGTCCTCAGTTCATGTGGAAAGAACTAGAATCATCTTCCCTTTGAGAAAACCTATTCCCTGTACCTTTTGAAAACTTAAATTCCTCTTCTGTTACAGGTCGCTATGACTTGGAATCGACTCAATGGCAGTGGGTGTGGTTTCAGTCTCTGTTATCGCACAGCGTGTATTCTGGCTGCTGTATGCTTACCTGGAAACTTCCTTCCTCTTCAGCTCTGTTTTTTAAAGTCTGCTCTTCCTGTTGATTTAAAGCATTTCTCCTTAGTTCCCAGCCCCGACCAGAGAGTCAGCCTGATGTGTGCTTTGCTCCGATTCCTTGGTGCTGGTTGGTCGGTGTCATCGAGTGAATTTTAACACCTAATCATCCCTGTGTTACACAGTTGTTGTGTTGTTTTCAGTTGTGATACAAGGGCACATTTACAAAGCATATTCATTTTACTCTCAATGGTTCCTGCACATTTGGTTTCCCAGCCCCAGTCACCATCCCCAGCCACAAAGAGCTCTCCTTCTCTCTGCTCCCTGTGACCACCCCCTCCTGGGGCCCTTCCTGTTGACGCATTCCTGTCTGTCCAGCTTTCCCTTCACGTGAATGCGACCCCTCTGATAGCTCCTGGCTTATTGATCCAGGGGGTGTATCTCCCTAAGGTAGGTGCATGTACCTCCCTGGGGTAGTTGTTCTGCTTGTAGATCTTTCTGCTGTTTGCCTGAGAGCTGACCCACGGCAGTGAGTCCAGTTCCAGGCCTGAAGGATAACCCAGGACCATAGTCTCAGGGGTTCCACCAGACTCTATCCAAACAATAATTCTGGTCAGTTTTGTGTTTTTGAATTTTGTTCCCAGGCCTCCAGGGGAAGGCTTACTCTCTGTCAGCCCTGGGGAAGATCTGTCTGAGTTTGTGTAGACCCAGCATTCCTTGGTTCTCAGCGATTCCCACTTGGTGTTTCTGCTCCCCTCTGTGCTTGCTTTTCTGGGCCTAATCTGCTCTTTTCATACCTCAGAAGTGATTGGGTTTTTGGCACCCCCACACTGTTGCGGTCTCATTAACATACCACAGAAAACCCTGTTCCCAAGTGGGATTACTTTCACAGGTGTAGGGATTAGGATGGCAACACACATTTTGGAGGCCACAGTTCAGTCCACCTGCTCTGAACACATGGTTTCATTATACATGTACTGAGGCCTGCCCCTCAGAAAGTGTGTTTTCTCGGATTTGCAGGAACAGCCTGGGCAAGTCTTTCTACAATCCTGTAAGTATTCTTCTTGACCCTTGTTGGAGAACCACAAGCCAAACATGTGCTACGCCAAAACCAAACTCACGGCCACGGAGCCAGTTCTGAGTCATAGCGATCCCCATTGGGTTTCCAAGGTGTAAGTCTTTACAGAAGCAGACTTTTTCCTACGGAGTGGTTGTTGGGTTCAATCTGCTGACCTTTTGCTTAGTAGCCAAATGCCTTAACCACCACAGCAAGGAGCTTCTTAATTAAGCTAAAATTGAATTTAGTGAGAAAGAAAGGAAACCTTTCAGCAGTAAAGATCTTAATAGCAAATATAAGAGAAATAAGGTCCCTGGGAGGTGCAAATGGTTTGCATTCAACTGGTATGCTAAAGGTTGTCTGTTCAAACTCACCCACCCAGTATTGCTGTGGAAGAAAGGGCCTGGCAATCAGTATCCATTAACATTGTTCTTGTTATGTGCCATTTTGTTGATTCTGACTGAAAGTGACCCTATGTGACAGTAACACTACCTCATAGGGTTTCCTAGGCTGTCGTCTTTCTGGGAACAAGATAGCCAGGGCTTTTCTCCCGTGCAGGTGCTGGTGGGTTCAAACTGCCAACCTTTTGGTTAGCAGCCAAGCGCTTAACCATCATGCCACCTCAGCTTCTTCCATTAAGATTGTATCCAGTCCTCTGCCCTAATGTAGTATTCACATACTTGTGATAAGATTCCTATGTCCAGCTGGGTTCTTCATGCTTGTACTTGAATATGGAATAACCATCCAAAGGTTGATTTGCTTCAGAGGTACACTTACTTTCTTACCGCAGTGTGAGCCTCAGTAGTACCCCATCTCATTACCCCCCTTTCCTGGAGTCCCTGGTGCTACGAAGATTAAGCACTCGACTATTATCTGAAAGGTTGACAACTTGAACCCTCCAGGGGCACCTTGGAAGGCAGGCCTGGTGACCTGCTTCCTAAAGGTTACAGCCTTGAAAACCCTCTGGAGCTGCAAAAAGTACAGTCTCACAAGAGGAAGACAGAATCACCATCAGCAGCCCAAGCCTTATTCCTATGAGGTCAGACGTGCCACCACCCTCCAACCTTTTTACTAACTCTTAACACCAACCATCCCTCCCACTGCACTCACCATTTCTCTGCTGGCGTTGACAATTCATTGAAATAGCCACACAAAATTCACAGACAATATTCATGATTATGGGGTTTATTAGGGAAGTAACAGGTAACAATTCAGGATCAGGAGTTCTCTCAGAATACATTTCATCAGTCGGGATAGTCTGTCCTCTGCTGTGCATTCAGACACCTGTCTCTGGCTCTTGGCCTCTCGGCCTGGCCCCTGCCCTGCTCAGACAAGTGTTAGAAGCTCTTTTAGCTCAGCCAGTAGGTACACCTAGTTGCACTCCACTTTGCGAGCAAGTCTCTTGCCCAAAGGCATGCAGCTTTCTAGCTCTGTGGGCCAGCAAGCCTTCTGCTCTGTCTTGTGCCTCTTGGTTCCTCAGCCAGTTATCTCTGCCGGTCATCTCTGCCAAGGAGGTCCAGCGCAGGGATCCTGGCCGAAAGGATAACCCAGGACCTCAGGGGTTCCACCAGATTCCACTCCCCCTCTAGCTTTTCTCTCTTGATGGCAGTGAGATCCTCCTTTTGCCTCTAGGTGGGGTCATTTTAAACCTAGAAGAGTGACAAAACTAACCAGTCCCCACATTATAATTCTGTGCACCTTATTTTCATTGTTCCCCCCCTGACAAGGGTGCCATGTACCTTATTTACATTACTCACAAGCTGTCCATTATTCACAAGCTGTCCGATCCTTTTGGTTAGCCACAAGCACCTCACATTGGCACAGTCTCGCCCAGTCATCTTGGGCGTCACAAAGACCACGGCTAGAAGAGCCCGACCAAGTCATTCACTGCAGCACAGGAGCAAAGTTCTACCCTGCACATACGGGCTTATTGTGAGTCAGAGTTGACTTGACAGCAAGCCCAATAAATAGGAGTGATCTTTGAGTCCTCACTTTTATTAATCTCATATCGAATCCACGAGTAAGCCCTGGCTTTTCTTTTCCCAAAATATATCCTGATTTCCTCCACCTCCCTCTTCAGTACTCCCTCAGACCACATTTCACAATTGGCATGTCCTTTCTGTACTTCATTTCTTCCTTGTTTATTCACTTGTCTGTAACTACACTGTACGCTCAATGAAAATGTTTCTATAACCTTATCACCAGACAGTGTTTGCTACAAAGTGAAAACGTCATAAGGATTTGGAGATGGATGAATGTCTCCCGCATCGTTTTGACACAGCTGTCCTTCCAATGTCTATGTCCTAGTACTAACAGTGACTTGATTTCACTCTCTCAACATGTTTTATAAGCTCCCAGTTAGAAAGCGGACTACTCTGTTAAGTAATTTTGAATGATCTAACCTTGCTTTTACACTGACAGCTCTTTGCTTTTGTTTTCTTTGTTTATATTATTGTGTTTTACCCTTGCCCAAGTGATAAGGAACGTAACTACTTGGAGTTCCTTTAAACTGAGGTCTTGGGGTTCTCACTAAAGGTCCAGCCC